AGAAAATAAGAAAATTCAGTATCTGGGTGAGAAGGGATAAAGTGGATAACCTTGTTAAGCTGTGTCACTTGTGGGAACAAAGAAAACTAGCTGACCTGGAGAAGGTCACATGAAAGGGAACCTGGGCAATTCACCCAAGGTGACTCCAAGAGACATGTTGAACCCCATACACATTTTTTGAACTGTACAGTCTGGTTATGAATTTTTCACCAACAGTAAAACTAACTGATGGCTCCCACAGGATCTTTTCAGGCAAGCCTGTTATCTCTACTACTTATCAGCCTGTTTAGCTAGGTCTCATTTGCAGTTCACCAAGGCAAGCAGATGATTAGATATTTCCATATTTTCATGAGATGGAATATAATCTTCGAATCTCAGAGGTGGACTTGGCCTTATAAGAACACAGTAAGTATTGAATAAAAGCTTCTTTATTAATCCATTCCAACAGCATCTTTAAGAGCTTGCTTTTGTTATGCAGTTTTATTTGTCAAGCTAACTTTTTGATTTTAGGAGTTGATGTTATTATATTCCAGGAGTTGATGAGTTGATGACTTGGGCATGACCTGGAACCTGCCAAGTCAAAAAAGGCAAAATAGACTTTAAGGCCTAGGATGTGATACAGTCTTAGAAACCAAGAATGTCCAATCTGGAAGGGATCCTAGAGGTAATTTGTTCCAAGCCTCATATCTGACAGCACACTTTTGTTCTATAGCTTTGCTTGTTAAATTCACCTCTTCCATTCTTTGAAGAAGAAAACCTATATGGAAGCTTATCTGGAGTAATATTTTTTTCTGCATTCATAGATGAAAGCTATCTGTGGATAGAATTCTCAGGAACAGGCACTGCCCATGCTTTAGAATCATACCTTTAATTCTGAGAACTATAATTTAATTTCAGGAAATATCTGGAATCTGTTGAGAAAGGATGAGTATACTAAGATTCCAAGAATGTTATATAATCTTAGAATCCTACATTGTCAGAACAAGACTTGACTTTACTTGTACACAGTACAATTCTTGGAAATTTTTTCCTACTTTCATTCCTACTACCTTGGGGAGTACACTTTTCTTCCGCAGTTTTATTAGTCAAACACATTTTCTCTTTCACATGGCAGGGGATTCTTGAGTTGATGACTTGGACATGACCTGGAACCTGTCAAGTCAAGAAAGGGACAATAGACTTAAAAGCCTGGCATGGCCTACAATCTTAGAAAGAGGTCAGAGGGAGTCCATAGATCCTTTGCTCCAAGCCCCACATTTAACAGCAAACTTTCATTTTGTAGTTTTTGCTTGTTATGTTACCAACTTAGTTTACCTCTATCTTTGAGCTATTACCTTACTGTCAGTAACTCATGGGAAATCAACAAGGGTGAAGAGAACTTTAAAAGAGAGAAAAATTATTGTCCTTTGTGGTGAAAGCAGATTTTTGGATGCTTTTAGACAGAAAAAAAGAACACATAAAAACAAAAAATAAACTTTTTTTCACCTGACAGTAGCAACTATTTGTATTTTTTTCATCTATAAAAGATATCTCCAACTCTGTAAGTGACTTCATCAATAGTAAAGTGTTTCAACCTGTGCCCAGGTAGGAAGAAAGTTAGAGTGAGTGAGGGAAACCTAGTCTGTCCCTAAAGGGAGAGCAACAACTTAAAAGAACCATTTTTCTAAAACTTAGAAAGTGAAGTCAATTGTGTCATGAGACTCTTTTCTCCCAAATTAAAAATCATAGTGTCCTTTTGCCAGGAAATCCTCTTGTCTGTTTTGGGAGGTTGAAAAGGATGAAATGGAAGAATTGACATGAGAAATTCACCATATTCTCTCAGATTGGTTATTCTTTTTGAATGGGATCCAAGCGTGTTTTACCATGCAATGTAACATTCGTCTGTATCTCTGCAGGCTTTGCCTGCACAGAGTGTGTTGGATTCTTAAAGTTAATGATACATTCTCTTCTCAAGTGTATTTGCTGTCTTTTCAGAGTGTTAAAAAGCCATGCATCAAGAAACAATTTCTGTTATTGAAGTTTCATAATTGAAAGCTATCTTTTCCTGGCAAACCATTCCAAGTTTAGATTTTGTACTTTTTTGAATCTGAAAATTGACACAAGCATCAAAAGCCATAGAGAAAAGTGGGAAAGTTGTAGAAGTGAAAGTGAAGGAGATAGAAGGGCACCAAGAGTGTGAAGCAGGATGTCAACAGAAAGATCACGCAGCATGATCTTCAGGCTCCAATTTTGATTAAGGGGTCACCATGTCAGTATCAGGTCACCCACAGAGCAGTGGACAGGAATTGAGTTCTGCTGAAGTGTGCCTCATGTCATCCAAGTTTGTGCCAGCACAACTGGAAGACTTGGAAGATGCCCTTCTGTGTCCCAAGCTCCAACCTGACTCCCAGATATGGAAGAAGAGGGATTCACTTTGCTGGGTGGGTGGAGCCAGAGCTGTGTCCCAGCTGCACTTCCTTGTCTGACTTTTGTCTTTGTGGGTTGAGATGGGGGACACCTGCTGGCACTTTGCACTGTCTGGAGGAAACCCCAGGCAGCCAATGTGCACTCAGATTCTAGAGGCTGCCAGTGACCAGTAGAGACAACAGTGAGGTCACTTTGTACATTGTATGTAGGGCTTTCCTCAGATTCACTCCCTCTTTCTCTCCACATTTTCTTCTCCCACCCCCACCCGAAACAAAAAAGAAATAAAAGTGAATGCGGCAAATTTATACAGAAAATTCCATTCCCCAAAGAAGAGATAAGAGAAGACACCCAAATCCCATCACTTTGCAGTGGGGGAAAGTTCCCGGTCATGCTGTATTGCAGATTTTGTTGATATGTCCATCAGTTGCTGATTTTTCTCTTTCCCTTTTATGCTTTTGATAAAAATCATTTATTATCTGAGATAGCTGTCTGGGAGAGAAGGGAGGTGGGGAAACAGTGGTTGAAATTCTGGTGATGGAGAAAAACAGAACTTCAACGAAATTTATTTCTAAAACACTACTGTTTTTGTAAGGAGCATTGCTTCAGCATTTTGTCTGTATGTTTCTGACAATATTCTAAAGAGGTATGGTCATTGCAGTCCGGACCAGTTCTACTTACTAAAATGTGAGACTGAGATTGGGAACCAAGGGAAGACTGTCCTGAAGCAGAGGTTAAAAGGTAGAAGGTTTTATTAACCCGATTCAGATATTCAAGTGCCCCTGGCTAGAAAAGGGGAAGCCAAAATCTCCACTGGGATTTCAGTGATTCCCAAGAAGAAAGAGAATACTATTCAGGGTCTCAGATGCTTTAGAGCTGGTGACGCATTTCTAAATGAAGGGTAACAGTCACACCTAACTCAGAAGTGGGCTTTGAGCACCAAAGAGATAATACTGAAGAGAGCTTAGCACAGAGACAGACACTGGCCCCTAGACGGTAAGTGCTTAGTACTTCCTATCTAACTTTCTCCCTTCAGTCCTGCCCTCTTTTCTTCCTTTCTTCCTTCCTCTTATATTTTCTGCATCTTTTCTTTTTTTTTTTTTTTGCTTCTTTGTTCCTTCCTATTGGTTTTCTCCCTTCCTTCACACCTTGCTCGATTCTCTCTGCTCTGGAGATGACGGTAGATAACAATCCAGCTGAATTTCCCTTTCAAACTTTCTGGAGTAGTTATTTCAGTGCTTGAAGGAAAGTCCATCCCAGAGTATTGAAGGAGCTGAAAGGAAGATAAGCCTCTATGAAGGGAGAGGAGAAGGAATTCTGTCCACTGTGCCCTGACAGCCTTTCTCTTTGCACCCGCTGCTGCTCAGGCGCCGTTGTCTTTTCTTTGTCCAGCTGCGCTCTTGCCTAAAGCATTCGTGACACCAACATCTGGAGCAAGCTGGAGTGCCCGTCACTTGGGGAATGGCTGACCAAGTTGTGCTATGTAACTCCGATGGAATACTACTGTGCTAGGAGAAATGATGGGCTCATTGATTTTTGAAAAAAAAAAATATGGATGGAGCTGCCCGTGGTGCTGAAGAACAAAACGTGCAAAACCAAGAGAATGTGGTGTACAGTAGCAGCAATATTGTTTTAAGAACAATTTAAAGTAACTAACTCATTTTTACCTATGATGAATGCCCAATTTTTCTAAAAAGGATATATGAAAGAAGAGGATATCTGCATCAAGAAAAATAACTGATACATAGAAGTATCTATAGAATGATTTTGCATGTATATATGTTTGCGAGTATATATGCATATATACACGCATACATATATACACATTTGTCTCAAATGGAAGGCATCAAGGTGGGGGTGGGAGTGGAAAAAAATGGGACAAAGAAATTTACCTGGGAACTTTATCACAGATTTAAAAGGAATGGAAACCTGTATATAGTAGATTTACAGTTTCATATGCAATCTTCCTGTGTAATGAAGAGTTAGATGCCCTGAAGAAGTGTCTCAGGGCTAAAAGAAATTGGATGGTGCTCAAGAGACAAGTGGGAAGGGTGGGGGTGGGGCGGAAGGGAAGAGAGCACTGAGGTGTGAATCTTAGAGAAGCGGTGGAGGGAACAAGAGGATTTTTCTCCTGTGGCACCCATTCTGAAGACGAGGGTTCACACCTTCTAAATGTAAAGTGGACATGGCAGGAGATCCTTGGGGGAAGCATATAAAAGGCCAGCACCAGTCCATTTTCAGCATTCCTGCTCAGAGCAGAGATTGCAATTGGAGCTCTTTTCCTCTCTGAGAAGCCTCTAGCAAGGACATCACAGGTAAGTTTGCTCCTGGGGAGATACCTGTTTCTTTGACTTCTATGCAAATGGAGAGGTCTTCTGCTCAAGAAACGGAGGAGAAGAGATAACTAGCTTAGGAGACTTGGAGTCAATAGATTGACTGGGTTTCACTCAGTGCTCCTAGGTCCCCGACCAACGTCAAATTACTTGCCTGCCTCAACTTCAGTTCTATCCTCTGTCAGAATAGGGCATTTCCTGCCTGCAATAGCCTCACTCTCTGACAGTTGCTGAGCATCAGCAACCTAGAACCTGGCAGTTAGTAGGCCAGGAGCTGAGTGGGATGATAACAGGAGACCAGGGCCATTCAAGGGGAGCACTGTCTCTAAGTGGATCCCCTGCTAAGGAGGTGTGGAGTATCTGGGGAAGTTAGGAAGGGTTTTCACGATGAATCCAAGGGGGAGCTCCAGAGCTGGCTTCTATGAGAAATTTTTAAGGATGAGGAAAGTGTGATGGGCCTGATTGTAGAAAGAAGGTTAGGAGGCAGTGGGTTGGGAGAGGATAAAGATTAAGACAGTGGAGATGATAGCATGCATAATCTGCTGGGGAAGGAGGGAAGAGTTGGGATCAAAGATGCCTGCAGAGGGCTTTGTCTTGGCAGGGAGAAGGGTTAGACTTCAGGGAAGAGAGGTGGGGGAAGACATCTAATTGACTTCAAAGGAAGGAAGAAGATGGGCAGACGGACCTTCATCCAATGGCTTCAATGTCATCCAGCTTCACAAGGAGGTGCTGGCCTTGAGCTGAGGAAACAGAGTACAAGCTCAGAAAGGCCAAGGGGGAAGGATGCAAATGATTAGGCTAGCTGCTATGGGGAGTGAGATAAGGAATCAAATACAGAGTTGTACAAGGACTGGTACATGCTTACAAAAGAGAAAGCAATTCAATATTAATAATATTGCATTTCCTTTTCACCCTGATATTTTCCATGTCATTTGGGTCATAGGTGCCATCATGCGGGTTTCAAGTCATCCAGAGCAGGGTGGAAGTGAACTGAACTCTGATGACGAATTCCTTGGGCTTCCTTTGCTGACTTCGCCACCTCAGTTTATCGCCGGACATTTGGAAGATTTGGAAGATGCCCTCCTGTGTCCTGACCTTCCACCTGCCTACCACACTGATGACAGCGAAGACCACAGCAGTGAGGACAGTGAGGGTGGCCATTCTGATGACAGCAATGACAAGCATGGCAGCAGGCATGATGACAGTGACTATCACAGCCAGGATGATCACACCAATGATGTCTACAGCAAAGGCTATGGTGAGTATTGAGGAGGGGCTGTTGGGAGAGGCTTGAGGAGGGCTCAAAATGTTGGGGAAATTTCTTGATGGGGAGATGGAATCTTTTAGGAAGGGTTAAAAATGGATAAATTTTACAATTTTGGATGTTAGTCAAAAGTGTTAATAGATTTTCACCCTGTGGTTTTGTTCCTTCGTTGAGATTGTTTGAGTGCACCCTCCCCTCACCTGATCCATCCTCCACTTTTTCTCTTTCACAGTCAAACTGCAAGAACAAGGAATGTGCACAGCTTGCTGTCACCTTTGCAATATGCAAACTAAGTGGGAACTCAGCCACAGAAAAGCCACAGAGAGAAGAGGAAAGGCTGTAGAAATGAAAGCAAAGGAGCTAGAAGTGTACCACGAGTGTGAAGCAAGATGTCAATGGAAAGATCGTGAAGCATTATTTTCAGGCTCTGTTTTTCATGAAGGGGTCACCATGTCAGTGTCGGGTCTCCCAGAGAGCAGTGGACAGGACACGAGTTCTGATGAAGGAGGCCTCATGTCCCCCCAGTTTGTGCCAGGACAATTGGAAGATTTGGAAGATGCCCTTCTGTGTCCCAAGCTCCAACCTGATGTGGACATGGATATGGAAGAAGAGGGATTTGCTTTGCTGGATGCGTGGAGTTAGAGCTGTGTTCCAGCTGCAGTTCCTTGCCTGACTTTTGCCTTTGTGAGTTGAGCTGGGGGACACTTGCTGCCATGTTGCAATGTCTGGAGGAAACCCCAGGCAGCCAACATGCACTCAGATTCTAGAGGCTGCCAGTGACCAGTAGAGACAACAGTGAAGTCATTTTGGACATAGCATGTAGGGCTTTCCTCAGATTCACTCCTTCTTTCTCTCCACCTTTCCTTCTTCCCTAGTTGGGGGCTGAATGGAAGAGAAGCCCATCACACCAGGGAAGCAAGGATCACCACACCTGCCTTCCCTGTCCTATCTTGAGGCAAGGTTTAAGGCCATGAAAAAGTCAAGGAAATCCCAAGAACCTCTTCCATCCCACCAAACAACAAAACCAAGAAATGCCCATGTATGCAAATTTATACAGAAAAGTCCATCCCCTAAAGAAGAGATAACAGAAGACACCCAGATCCTTTCACTTTGCAGAGTGGGAAGGTTCTTGGTCATGCTATTTTGCAGATCTTGTTGATATGTCCATCAGTTTTACTCACTTTTCTCTTCCCCTTTCATGCTTTTGATCAAAATCATTTGTTACCTGAGCTGGCTGTCTGGGAGAGAAGGAGGGAGGAGTGGGGGAATAGTGGTTGAAGTTCTGGTGATGGACAAAAGTGACACTTTAATAAAATTTATTTCCAAGAATTCGACTATCTTTGGTCTTTTTTTTCTTAATTTGGTGAGACAATTGGGGTTAAGTGACTTGCTCAGGGTCACACAGCTAGTAAGTATCAAGTGCCTGAGGCCAGATTTGAACTCAGGTCCTCCTGACTCTAAGGCTGGAGTTTTATCCGCTGCACCACCTAACTGCTCAAGAACATTCCTATCTTTGTAGGGAGCATCGGTTCAACATTTTGCCTGTATGTTTCCAATAATATTCTAAAGAGGTATGGGCACTGCAGCCTGGACCAGTTCTACTTGCTAGAATGTGAGACTGAGATTGGGAACCAAGGGAAGAGTGTCCTGAAGCAGAGGTTGAAACTTAGAAGGTATTATTGACCCAATTCAGATACGCCAGTGCCCCTGGCTTGCAGAAGGGAAGCCCCAAAGTCTGCTGAGATTTCAGTGCTTCCCAAGAAGAAAGAATACTATTCAGGGTCTCAGATGCTTTAGAGCTGGTGATCCAGGACTGGTCTCTTAACTGCTGTCTACCTCAGTTTCCCCATTTCTAAAATGGGGAGTCATTGCAGCATCTAAGGGGGCTTTGAGGATCAAATGAGATAATACTGAAGAGGGCATAGCACAGAGATAAACACCAGCCCCTATATAGTAAGTGCTTAGTACTTCCTATCTAATTTCTCCCTTCAGTCCTGCCTTCTTTTCTTCCTTCCTTCCTTCCTCTTATATTTTATGTATCTCTTGATTCTTTGTTTCTTCCTATTGATTTTCTTCCTTTCCTTCACGCCTTCCTTAATTCTTTCGGCTCTGGAGATGACAATAGATAACAATCCAGCTGAATTTCCCTTTCAAACTTTCTGGAGTAGTTATTTCAGTGCTTGAAGGAAAGTCCATCCCAGAGTATTGAAGGAGCTGAAAGGAAGATAAGCCTCCATGAAGGGAGAGGAGAAGGAATTCCGTCCACTGTGCCCTGACAGCCTTTCTCTTTGCACCCGCTGCTGCTCAGGTGCCGTTGTCTTTTCTTTGTCCACCTCCACTCTTGCCTGAAGCATTCATGACACCAACATCTGGAGCAAGCTGGCATGCCCGTCAATTGGGGAATGGCTGACCAAGTTGTGCTATGTAACTCTGATGGAATACTACTGTGCTAGGAGAAATGATGAGCTCACTGATTTTTGAAAGACATGGATGGAGCTGCCCATGGTGCTGCAGAGCAAAATGTGCAGAACTAAGAGAATGTGGTGTACTTTAGCAGCAATATTGTTTTAAGAACAATTTAAAGTAACTAACTCATTTTGACCTATGATAAATAACCACTTTTTCTAAAAAGGATATATGAAGGAAGAAGATATCCCCATCTAGAAAAAAAAACCTGATACATAAAAGTATGCATAGAATGATTTTACATTCAAATATGTATATATATATATATATATATATATATATATATATATACATATATATATATATGCATACATACATGTTTGTCTCAAATGGTAGTCATTGCTAGGGCAAGGGAGGGTCGAAGTAGAGAAAATGGGATAAAGAAATTTACATGGCAATTTTATCATAGATTTAAAAGGAATAGCAACTTGTATATAATAGATTTACAATTTCGTGAACAATCTTCACTTGCAATGAAGAGTTAGATGGCCTCAGGAAATATCTCAGGGTTAAAGGAAATGGGATGGTGCTCAAGAGATTAGTGGGGACGGTGGGGGTGTGGTGGAAGGGAAGAGAGCATTGAGGTGTGAATCTTAGAGAAGGGGTGGAAGGAACAAGAGGATTTTTCTCCTGTGGCATTCATTCTGAAGATGGGGGTTCACACTTTCTAAATGTAAAGTGGACATGCCAGGAGATTCCTGGGGAAAGCATAAAAAACGCCAGCACCAGCCCATGTTCAGTGATTCCAGCTCAAAGCAGAAACTGCAATTGGAACTCTGTTCTCGCCTGAGAAGCCTCTAGGAAAGACATCGAAGGTAAGTTTGCTCCTGGGTAAATGCCTTTTTCTTTGACTTTTACAAAAGTGGAGAGGTAGTCTTGTTTGAAGGACTGAGGGACCTTGAGTCAATGGATTGACTAAGTTTGACTCAGTGCTTGGGACATGGTCCTAGGTCCCTGACTGATGGGGTATGGCTCAAGTTGAGGTCTTTGCCCCTTGCCCCAAAGGTAATCTGTCTCCCAGTTTAGGTTTCTTATCTCCTTATCTCCCTTTGAAAGCCTTAGCCCCACCTTTTTGATTTACCTACCAATCAGAATTCTTATTCACACCCTTTTCCCAGACCTTCCCCTGACTACCCAGAGTCATTTTAGTATATAAGAACACCCCTGGCCCTCATTAAGGGCACAGAATTTCAAGCCCAAAAGGCTGAGATTTTCTCATACCCGCCCATCTTTATGAGCGTCACCTGGCCTATGTGTTTTATCACTAATAAACTTTTCATCTGGCTGAAGAAGATTTGAGATTAATTCTTTCAGGCAGGGCCTGGCACCATGATCTTGGGGTTCCAGCAGTACCTCAAATCCTTTAGACCTCTCTATGACCACAGTCAAATTCCTTGCCTGCCTAAACTTCAGTCGCATCCTCTCTCAAAGTAGGGCACTTCCTGCCTGCAACAGCCTCACTTTCTCACAGCTCTTTAGCATAAAACACCTACAGCCTGGTAGTTAGTTGGCCAAGAGGTGAGCAGAATGATGACAGGAGACCAGGGCCATTTAAGGGGAGTAGTGTATCTCTCAGGATTCCCTGCTACTGAGGTGTGGAGTATCTAGGCTAGCTAGAAAGTATATTCACACCCAATCCATGGGGGAGCTCCTGAGATAGCCTCCATGAAAATTTGTGAAGGATGAGGCCTTGTGCTGAAGAAATAGGGAGAGGGCGTCCTAAGATAGGGTGGAGGGGAGGGATGGAAGTGGTTAGGCTAGTTGCTGTGGAGAATGATATTATGAATCAAATACAGAGTTGTAAAAGGACTGGTAAATGCTTACCAAATAGAAAACAATTCAAAAGTAAATTTTTTTTCCTTTTCACCATAATATATTCCATGTAATTTTGTTCATAGTTGAGAACACATGATTCCATTCTCTAATGATAATCTATTTTCTTCATTCTTTTCAAAGTTCAACTTCTAGGAAAAGGCGACTCCACTTTCTAAACAGAAATGTTTCAGAATTCCAAAAGAGAAAGTGTAGAGAGAAGTGAAAAAAATGTAGCAAGGGAGACAAGGAAGGAGAATTACAGAAAGAGAAGGAATCAAGAAACCAACCTGGAGATAAGGAAGTCTCACCCTCAGGCTCCGTGTTGGCCACAGGTGCTGCCATGACAGTTTCAAGTGATCCGGAGAATGGTGGGAGTGAACAGAGTGCTGATGACCCTCTTCAGGGTCTTGGATGCTTCATAGCTATTGACCCAGCGTTAGTCTCTTAACTGCTGTCTACCTCAGTTTGCTCAACTCTGAAATGGGGTAATGGGAGCACCTAACTCAAAAGGTTGTTTTGAGGCTCAAATGAGATATTACTGAAGAGGGCTTGGCCAGGCACTGGCATCTATCAAGTAGGTGCTTGGTAATTCCTACCTAACTTTTCTCCTTCCTTCCTTCTTTTCTTCCTTTCTTCCTTCTTTCTCTCTTCCCTTCCTTCCATACCATGTCCTCTGGAGATGACAGTTAATAAGAATCCAGCTTAATTTCATTTTCAAACTGTTGTCAGGAGCAATTTGGGGAGAAGAATGTTTGAAAGTAAGCCCATTCCTTGACTTTTGAATGAGTTTGAAGAAAGCCAGGCCACCACTAAGGGAGAGGAGAAGGAATTTTGTCAGCATGTACGCTGACAGCCTTTATCACAGACAACATTATGTGTCATTATATGTCATTGCCTTTTCTTTTTCTACCTGGATTCTTCTGTAAATCATTCAAGACACTAACACAAGTCGCAAGCAGAAATTCCTGGGGCACTTCACTAAAGGCTGTATTGGAAACTCATGGGATGCAGCCAAAGCAGTTCTTAGGGGAAATTTTATATCTCTAAATGCTTACATGAACAAAATAGAGAAAGAGGAGATCAATGAATCAGGCATGCAACTAAAAAAGCTAGAAAAAGAGCTAATTAAAAATCCCCAATTAAATACCTATTTAGAAATTCTGAAAAATCAAAACTGAGAGTAATAGAATTGAAAGTAAGAAAACTATTGAAATAATAAATAAAACTAAGAGCTGGTTTTATGAGAAAAAAACACAATAAAATAGATGAACCTTTGGTTAATTTGATTTAAAAAAAAGAAAGAGGAAAACCAACTTACCTTTATCAAAAATGAAAAAGGTGAATTCGCCACACATGAAGAAGAAATTAAAACATAAATTAATGTTTAAATAATTATTTTAATTACTGTTTAATTAAAACAGTTAGGCTATTTTGCACAACTGTATGCCAATAAATTTGACAATCTTAGTAAAAGGAATGAATATTTACAAAAATATAGATTGCCTAGATTAACAAAAAGAGGAAATAAAATACTTAAATAACTCCATTTCAGAAAAAAGGAATTGAACAAGTTATCAGTGAACTCCCTGCAAAAAAATCTTCTGGGCCAGATAGATTTACAAGTGAATTCTACCGACATTTAGAGAACAATTAATTCCAATACTATATAAACTATTTGGGAAAATAGGAGAAGAAGGAATCCTACCAAATTCTTTTTTAATGATACGAATATGGTACTGATACCTAAACCAGGAAGAGTCAAAACAGAGCAAGAAAATTATAGACCAACTTCCCTAATGAATATAGATGCAAAAATTTTAAATAAAATATTACCAAAGAGGATTATAGCAACTTATCTTGAGGATAATACACTATGACTAGGTAGGGTTCATACCAGGAATGCAAGGCTGGTTCAATATTAGGAAAACTATCAACCTAATTGTCCCTATCAACAACAAAATTAACAGAAATCACAGCATTATCTCAATAGATAGAGAAAAAGGTTTTGAGAAAATA